TCTTCCTCCCTCTCTCTCTTGTGCGTGCACACACAAGCAGACAAATACACACCTTCGAGGACAGGAATGGTATGTATTGGACTGATGAGCACCTCGAGAATAGCCCCAGACGTATCCCTACACCATGAACTAGCGTCACAAATCTAAGATCCGGGCCGTCGTAGGCCCTACCGCTCCATGACCCAGATCGTCGAAAGACTAACAAATCTGCGATCTGGGCCATCGGGCCCTACCGGACCGATGGCCTGGATCGACGCGGTCGGCAAAAGAATGTAAAAAAATCTGTGATCTGGGCCATCGGGCCCTACCCAACCGACAGCCTGGATCGATGCAGCCTCAAGATCTTTAGACAGTGGTCTGAATCCAGGCCGTCGTGCCCGGAGCTCGGGCCCAACGGCCCAGATCGCAGGCAACTTTGGGTACCTCACTCTGCCTTTGTCCGTTGCAACATGGGCAGTGCTGATCTGCATTGTTTTTTGTTGAACTCTGTGCCTCGGCATCCAAGCCGTAGTCCGTGTTGGGTAAAGCCTCGAGCCGTGTTGTGTATAACCTGCCTCGCGGCGCCGGTGTTGTGTATTGCCTCGCGCTGTGTTGGGTGCCCTGCAAGGTGCCGACTCTCTCTCTCTCTCTCTCTCTCTCTCTCTCTCTCTCTCTCTCTCTCTCTCTCTCTCTCTCTCTCCTCTCTCCCTTCCCTCTCCCCCCTCCTTCTCTCTCTCTCTCTCTCTCTCTCTCTCTCTCTCTCTCTCTCTCTCTCTCTGTGTCTCGCCCTCTCTCTCTCTCTCGCGCGCGCGCATCTCTTTCACACACACACACACACACACACATTTATAACACATACACATCCATCAGTCAAGTACATCCTGGGCAGACTGTCGGGGTTTAACCTCCTGATGAGTCGGTGAAAGTCCGACGAAACAGTCTGGCACAGTCATGCTTTCTGTGTGTTGTGTATAGCGAACATGAAAACACACACGCACACACATACACACAATCTCTCCCTCTCTCACTTACCTGTGATTGGTAGTGAGCTGTGGTGGGACCTGATTGAGGTGTGGTGGAGGATTGTTGACGCCTGAACGCTAGACCCAGGTCAGTGGCCTCGCTCCCCCCCCCACCACTCTCCTCCCTCCCCCGGCTTTGTTCCCCCTCCACTGCCACCGTTGCTCCACTCCTCCTCCGCTACACTATTCCGCTACCGTGCTCCCACCGCCCTCCGCACCTCTGTTCCTCCTCCTCCACTCCGCTGTGCTAACCGGTTGCACCACCGTCCTACCCGACCTGCTATGTCGACTCTCTTCTCCACCCATT